AACATTGGGGGTGGAAGTGCCCCTTTGAATCACAATGTTTGTATCCTTTGGATAATTGTACCTAGTAGTGCAATTGCTGCATCATGGGTAGTTTTATTTTTAACCTTTTGAGGAACCTCTATACTGTTTTTCAGAGTGACCACATCAGCTTGCCTTCTTACCAACAGTATAAGAGGGTTGCCCCCTCTCTGCATCCTCGCCAACATTTGTTATTTCCTGAGTTGTTAATTTTAGCCATTCTGACTGGTGCAAGGTGGTATCTTATTGTAGTTTTGTTTTGTGATTACTTGGTAATGAGTGATATTGAACATTTTTTTCGTGTGTCTGTTGGCCATTTGTATGTCTTCTTTGGAGAAATGTCTTTTCATGTCTTCTGTCCATTTCTTGACTGGATTTTTTGTTTTTTGGGTGTTGAATTTGATAAGTTCTTTATAGATTTTGGTTACTAGCTCTTTATCTGATAAGACATTTGCAAGTGTCTTCTCCCATTCCACAGGTTGCATTTTAGTTTTGTTGATTGTTTCCTTTGCTGTGCAAAAGCTTTTTATCCTGACGAAGTCCCAATAGTTCATTTTTGCTTTTGTCTCCTTTGCCCTTGGAGACATGTCTTACAAGAAGTTGCTGTGGCCAAGGTCAAGGAGGTTGCTGCCTGTGTTCTCCTCTAGGATTTTGATGGATTCATGTCTCACATGTAGGTCTTTCATCCATTTTGAATTTATTTTTTGTGTGTGATGTAAGAAAGTGGTCCAGTTTCATTCTTCTGCATATGGCTGTCTAATTTTCCCAATACCACTTGTTGAAGAGACTGTCTTTTCTCCATTAGCTATTCTTTCCTGCTTTGTCAAAGGTTAGTTGACCATAGATTTCAGGGTCCATTCTGGGGAGCTCCGTTCTGTTCCATTGATCCATGTATCTGTTTTTGTGCCAGTACCTTACTGTCGTGATGATTACAGCTTTGTAATATAGCTTGAAGTCTGGAATTGTGATACCTCCAAATTTGGGGGTTTTTTTGTCAACATTATTTCAGCTATCCAGGGTCTTTTCTCATTCCATAACATATTTTAGGATTCTTTGTTCCAACTCTGAAAAATGCTGAGTGTGGCTTGCTCTTTCTTTTTCTTTCTTTCTTTCTTTCTTTCTGTCTGTCTTTCTTTCTTTCTTTCTTTCTTCTTTCTTTCTCTTTCTTTCTTTCTTTCTTTCTTTTTTCTTTCTTTTTCTTCTCTTTCTTCTCTTTTTAAAGATCTTATTTATTTGACAGAGAGAGAACAGGCAGGGGGAGCGGCAGGTAGAGGGAGAGGGAGAAGCAGGCTCCCCAAAGAGCCAGGGAGCCCATTGAGGGGCGGGGGTGGGGGGTGGGGGCCGATTCCAGGATTCTGGGGTCATGATCTGAGCCCAAGGCAGATGCTTAACTGACTGAGCCACTCAGGCGCCCCCATTGTGGCTTTTCTTAATGCATGGAAATGTGTTTGTAGTAATCTTAGTGACAAGAGCAGAGCAGAAGCAGTGTTTACGCACTGATTACAGCTATGTTAAAACCCAAGCATGTACAGTAAGAGTATGAAGATAATTTACAACAGTGAAAATAGATGTGGTTTCAAGATATTTTGATTTTTAAAAAGCAGTATTGTATGGGATGCTAAATGAAATTTAATATCCAGATTGAAAGGAAAAACCCAATAAATCCCTCCACTAAAGGGCCTGGGGATTCTCATTTCAAGAATGATTAAGAATGGCTGCATGGAGAGCTAGATTGGGCAGGATCCTAAGGCCTTGGCTCAGCACTATGGGTAAGAGTGATGCATCTGATTAGTGATGTCTTCCAGGGGAAGGATTAGCAGTGGCAGTGGGCAACCTAGGTCCTTGCCTTATTCCTAAGCTATCCCCAGCAGCCATGACTTTTGTAGACACTCTGACAAATGAATGAGCTGTTGAAAGAGCCACGTGCAGGAAGAGACCTCATCTTTTAGTTACACGTGGTAAGATTGGGGCAAGTCACTGAGATAGAAGATTGTATAAAACAAATACCGCAAGGGAAGAAAAGGCAAAGTCCTCCAAAATCGGGGTCAGTTTGAGTGTAGGTGGGCACAGCAGGGAAGGCTTGTGGCATTTGGACTGGGTCTTGAAGGAGGCAGGGGTTTTGCAGGTGCAGATGCTTGAGAAGGTGTCCCAGATAGAGGGCACAGCATGGATAAAGGTGTGGAGGGTGGCAAATACCAGGCCGTCTTGGGAGGGATGAAAGCAAGGGGGTCACTATGGTTACAGGATAAAGCATGTGTAGGTTAGTGATGGAAGCTGAGCATGGAAACAGGATGGGGCCAGACTCAGCATGTTCTCAAGGCAAGGGTGAGGAGCTGGAATTTTATTTACTTAGCCACAAGTGGCCATTGATGATGAGTTGGAGGCAGGTGGTGCTCAGAAGGAAATGAGACCAGAGGGTGTTGAGCAAATGCCTCTTTCCTGGGAGACCATTGGCATAAGATGATCTCAGGCTGGATTTTGACAAGATCTCTTTGGAACGTAGGGGGAAATCATAGTGTTGGGATAATGAGGTGGGGGAGGTAAGCCACCCTGATTAAGAACAATTCCATGGGCTCTGGTTACTGTTCAGGATTTCCTGAGCTCTGGACCAGGCTACAGTCTCTGTCCTCTGGGAGCTTCTAGTCTTTGGGGGAGGCAAACACACCCCAGGAAACAACTGGAGACCCATCTGAGAGTGTGTGAGATCCAGCACCAAGGGGAGAGGGTCAGTGGGGGGTGCAGCATTTAGGGGCAGAAGAGAATGTGGGCAGAGTCAGTGGGTCAGGCTCCCTGGGTGTCCTTTGTAGGAGGTGGTTGTAGATGACATCTCAGGTGTCCTCAGACTGCACATCCCCACATCTGGGAGAGGCACTGAGGATGGACAGAATTTGGATAGGTAGATGCGAGAGAAGTGGGCTTTCCACCGATTAGTGGTTGGGTCTTTGGGGTCAGGCCAGAGACAGAGGAAGACTTAGAATGTCTGAGGACACTGGGGAGACTGGTTGCTATCAGAAGTTCAAGTTGGGGAGGTGGGGTTGCAGACCACCCAGGCCTGGCAGCCAAGAAGGGAGCCCTGGCTTGAAGCAGTGGGCCAGGGATGATCTGAAGAGACGTGGGGCCACTGGGGTTTGAGGAAGGCTAGCCTTGCAGCTGTCAGACTCCTAGGGTCCTACCAGATAAAGAAATGGTCCCTGGAGGCCCTGTCTGGGGAGTCTGGCAGGCCTCACAAGATTTGGGGGATCCCATGGATTCTGCTCTATTCATAGGATTTTCCAAGCTTGCAAGGACCCTATGCCTCTCTTTGGCCTGCCCTTCCAAATCTGCAGAGCCCTTGCTCCAGGGAATGTAGTCTCTCACTCCCTTGTCTACCATCCCAGAGTCAAATGTGTCCCTGGGGACTGCAGGGAAGAATGGGGGCTGCTTTGGCTTTGAGACACAATCAAGTGGGTATATCTCATTCTGTGCCAATCCTGGGAAGACCTCTAGTGCCCTCTGTCCCCTCCCCCATCCAGGGCTAAGGGAGGTTCTGGGACTCTGGGTGGGCAGTGGGTGGTGGTGGCCAGAGGAGAAACTCCCCCAGTGGCTGGATTATATGGGTGTTTGCAGGCCCTCAAGCCCCTTCTGCATGATAAATGTGTTTGGTGCTGAGTGTACGGTACAAGGTGGCAGAGATGGGTTTAGCTTGGGGGCTTTTTCCACTTACCCCAAACTTGGGAGCTCTCCTGTGCCAGGCTTGTGGGCATTTGGCCAGCTCCAGGTCATCTCAGGCAAGAGAAACTTAGAGCTGGGAAGCAAGGAGGGCTGGGAGATAAAAGAGAGAGAGGCATGGGTTTGACCAGACTTAGGGGTGAGACAGAGGCACATGAGAGTTTGGAAGACAGTAATGGGGGATACAGGTATTTGAGGAACATTAAAGATGGGGGCAGAGCCTCAATGGGTTGGGAGAAGAGAGACAACAAGGAAGAGAGGCTAGGTCTGGCATGTCCCCTCCTCCCCTTCCCCTACCCCAGGCCTCCTGTAGTTGCTGACCTGTACAAGTGGAACAGCCAGAGGCCAGTGTGATTTACATCATGGGTGTGTCCTGAGCACCTGCTGAACTATGATGACAATCCGTCCAATTTGACCCCCATTTGACTGTGGAAGCCTCCAAAGCTCCTGCATACAGCTCTGACTTCAGCCATTGGCACGCCAGCCCCACCACTGGCTTCAGTGCTAAGGATACAGCCTTCATTACCACCATCGGCAGCCTCTCACTACCACATGGTATTACCATCATCTGCTGTACCGGCCCCATCATCCCCAGCCACCCAAACTGCATCCCATGGAGTCCTGGGGGGTGCTGGGATCCAGGACTTGAGTCAGACCTCTGAAAGCGTCACCTACAGACCAATGATTCTCAACAACTTTAACCCTTAAAGGGACATGTGGCAATAACCTGAGATATTTTGGTTCACAACATTCGGACTGCTGGTGGCATCCCCTGGGTAGAGGCCAGGGATGCTGCTAAACATCTAAATAGAACAGAACAGCCCCCCAGCAAGGAATCATATGTTCCAAAATGTCAATAGTACTAAGGATCAGAAACCTGCATATGGAGGTCCTATGCCCTCAGTTGACCTGACTCTGGCCCTCACCCCAAAATGTCACACCATGCCTCTGTTCCTGGACAAGGAGAAATCCTCATTGGTGCATCTTATGGCAACTCCTATTATTCACACTTCTTGCCCCCCCAGCATGTATGAAGAAGTGCAGAAGATTTAAGGTCCTCTGTGGCCACTGTCAAGAAGGAAAACGTATGGAAACAAGAGATTCGTGCAGCACAAGATGTGTCTGGGGTTGAGGTCAGGCTTTTGCCTGGGGCAGGGAGGCAGGGACTGGGCTAGAACCTGGAGGTATAAAGGCAGGAGTGCTCCGGCCTTCACTCCACTGCAACAGCCCTACTTGGAGGGCTCTTCCTCTGTGGCCAGTTGGGAACCAGCATCATGAAGTGGATGGCGATGGCCTTGATCAGCCTCCAGCTCTTGGAGGCAGCAGTGGTCAAGTGAGTCTGGGGCCTGGCTAGGGGCCGCTCCACCTGTCTCTGCTCTGGAGTTTCTGCTGGGGAGAGGAAGGCTCCCCAAGCAGGTGTAAGGTGGGGACTCAGAGGTAGGAGGAGCTACAGCCTTTGCCCTCAGAAAGCGTCTAACTGAACCAAAGGAGAGTTTGTCCACCAGATGCCCTGCAAGTCAGTTAAAAATACTGACACTGAGCCTTGCAGTGCAGAAAGACAGGCTCATTCATTGGTGTGGTACTACCCAGGTGAACGGGGAGCTAATGCTCAGAAGTCCCAGACTCCCTGATGCTTGTAAGGGAGGTTTTTTTTTTTTAAGATTTATTTATTTATTTATTTATTTATGATAGACAGAGAGAGAGAGAGAGAGAGAGAGAGAGAGAGGCAGAGACACAGGAGGAGGGAGAAGCAGGCTCCATGTTGGGAGCCTGACGTGGGACTCGATTCCGGGACTCCAGGATCGTGCCCTGGGCCAAAGGCAGGCGCTAAACCGCTGAGCCACCCAGGGATCCCCTAAGGGAGGGTTTTTAAGGGAGATAATCAGAGATGAGGGGCTCGAGGTGGTGGGTTCTTCTGAAGGATCAGGGACTGGGTCAACCCCAAGATCAAATGACCTGTCTTTCTGGCACTGGTCTGTCTGGTTTGTTTCATCACCTGTGACTGGGTGGTCCTTCCCTCTCCTACTCTGGTTCTCCAAAACATCTCAGCAATGTGTGTCAGTGATGCTATCTTTGTTAGCAAAAATACAATCACACCTTGTGATTGTGCAAGCTGATTCATTTCTTTCTCTCTTGAGCCTCATTTTCATTATCTTAAGCAAAGTGTCCTGGTATGTTCCCAATAATCTTTAACTATGGGCTACAGGCCTTTCTGCAGACTTACTCCACTGGCAGTTGCACTTCCAGGCAAAGGAAAAGCACAGCCGCTTCCTTCCCCATCTGAGGAGAAAAGGTGGACCTGGGACAGAGCCAGGGTGACTGGTCCCAACAGACCCTCAACAGCCAGTGTGCATTCCTTCCGCAGAAAGGAACGATTATTTCTGGATGGGCAGGCATTCACTAAAAATTCCCTTAAGGCCGCAATCTATTTAGCAGATGGCACAGCCATCTAAGGAGAAACACCAGGAACGTAGTGTCTACATGCTAGGGTGTCCGGAGAAAGGAAGCGAGGAGGCATGGCTCCCAGGATGTCCGGAGGGCTCCTGGCCTGCACCCTGCTTTCTGCCTCACCCGTAAACACTGATGCCCCAGCTGAAGACATGGCTCCTCTCAGAAACCTGCTTGTAACAGGCACATTCTGTAGAGGTGGCAAGCCCGAGTGGCCATCGGTCTTCACAGCTCAATGTGAATGGGTTTAGTGGAGAATTTGGGGCCCTGAGAGAATGGGGAATCACATGGGAAAAGAAAAGAGGCGGGACTTCTGCAGTCTGGAATGAGCCTGGTGGAGCCATAGGGACCCCCTAGGCCGTGGCAGCAAGCAGGTCTTGGAAGAGGAGACAAGGGTGACAGAGGCAGAAACCCAGAGCCCCTCAGTTCCAGTTCCAGAGCTGATCTGGGCTCCAGACCACCCAGGCCAACCCCCACACCACCTGGTGTCTAGAGAAGAGCAGTGATTGGCCCCAGGCCAGACCATGAGAAGCAGGGACAGACCTAGGACCCTGTCTTCTGAGTCCCAGTCTAGCGTTGTCCCCTGTACCCATGCAGTGTCACATTCAGCCAGGGCCAGGTGCCTGAGGGCCACCATAAGAGAGCATTGGGGTGAACTCTGTCATCTCCGAAATCTTTCTTAAAAATCCAGGGTGCCTGGGTGCCTCAGTCAGTTAAATGTCTGCTTTTGGCTCAGGTGATGATCCCAGAGTCCTGAGGCTGAGCCCCACATCGGGCTCCCTGCTCAGTGGGGAGCCTGCTTCTCCCTCTCCCTCTGCCCCTCCCCCTGCTGTGCTCGCTCTTTCAAATAAATAAAATCTTTTTAAAAATGCATATATCCTGGGCTGCCTGGCTGGATGACTCAGTAGAGCACATGACCCTTGATCCCAGGGTCCTGAGTTCAAGCCCTCCATTGGACGTAGAGCTTACATAAGGACAATGCATATGTCCTGCCATGGGTGATGGCTGAAGCCCCCCCTCCCCTTCCAGGTAAGGAATTTATGGGATGTCTGAGAGCAGAGGGCCAGGGCAGGATGGGACCCATCCTGAAGACGGGGCGTGGGCATGCATGGTGAAAACCGTATTTGTTTTCTGAGTCTTGGAACAAGTTTTGAGAAGAGCTTTGAAGGAAAGAGAAGGAGAGGGAAAGAGAGAGGCAGAGGGAGAAAGAGACAGAAGGGCAGAGCCAGGGAAAGAGACATGGAGACAGAGAGAAAGGGATGGAGCCAGAGCCAGAGCAGGAGTGAGAGGGAGCTAGGCACAGACACAGGGTGGTAGGCACAGGGGACACCAGGGCTGGAGGCCCGAGGCCCGAGGCTGGAGGTGGAGCGGCGGGGAGGGAAGGAGGGACAGACTATCAGCAATGCTGGCGGGAAGAGGGAAGTCCCTGCCCTGACACCAGCCCGTCTGCAGAGTCTCCCTGAGGAAATTAGAGTCCATCTGTGAGCCCATGAAGGAGAAGGGCTTACTGGGGAGTTCTTGAGGACCCCAAGAATGACCCTGCCCACAAGTACCACTCTGGCAACCTCGGTGTGGTCTTCAAGCCCCTGGCCTACCTGGATGTGAGTCCTGACCCTCTGTGGGGGTTCTTTCTCCTCGGTGCCAAAGGCTGATGAGGCTGGGCCCTGGGGGTGCCACACGATCCTCTCCATACCCTCCCACCTGGCCCCTGGGACCTGCTCCCTTCTCTCCACCTGCCAGCCCAGACTGAAGGTCTGTGTGTTCTCGGCAAGGATGGAAGATAGGCTTGGGCCTCTGCCTCTGGATCGCATTGTAGGGCAAGGGCTCTGTCCATGGAGGAGGCTCTGGGCCTGAGGGTCTCTGCATCCCTCCAGAGGTAATAGCCTGCCCCATGGCCCCCCAGAGTATGTACCTTGGGGAAATCAGCATTGGGACCCCATCGCAGAACTTCCTGGTCCTTTTTGATACTGGTTCCTCCATCCTGTGGGTGCCCTCCGTCCAGTGCCAGAGCCGGGCCTGTGGTAAGTGCAAGGTTTGCCAGGGAGAGTGGTTGGCAAGGGGAGGGCATTGATAGCCTCAGGGGAAGGGACCAATGAGGCAGGGATTGTGGGGCCTGGGTGCTTCAATCCTGAGAGTCAGGGGCCTGGCCAAGGTCAAGGGGCATGTGCAAGACAGACGGAAGAGACTGGCCCTGGACCTGGGTGGTCTCTTTGTCTTCCCCCTCACCATCACGTGTTCCTCCACCCACTCCAGCCCACCCCTTTTGCTCCATCCATCCCACTCCATTCTGCTCATTCTGTTCCCTGCCGACAATGCCATTCCATCCCACCAAGGTCTATAACATTTTTTCTATTCCATCCCACTTCACTAAGTTCTCACAGAGTATCTCCTAGACACTGGTCCCTGTCTTACAGTTGTGTTTGGATACAGGCCATGCTCCCCTCCTCAAGGCTGCTCTGGACCCTGCTGGATCTTTGGGGTTTGGGTCCTGACACTTCTTATCCAAAGAGTCCCTCATAGGCCATGTCTCAGGTCCTGGCATGGCCAGGTTCTTGATGGGGCAAGTGGGGGGAGAATGCAGGGATGCCTTGGAGGTTCATTTGCTCCTAAAGCTGATGGTAATTTTTAGGCACTTGCCTTGTGCCAGATGATCTGCAGGGGGGCAGGGAAACAGAGAGGGATTCTAAGCAACCTGCCTACCAAGGGTCACAGTCAAAGGACCACCAAGAGTCTATAAGACGGGGCTTCGAGGCCAAGGCTGGCCACCTCACATGGGTTTTCACATCTTGGGAACCCCCTCAGTCAGGCATCCCTTGACTGCGTGGCCAGGGATGCCGAGGCTCCAGGATGTGAGTACAGGCCAGAACTCGGGTGGGCAGCCCTCCACCTGCAGCCTGCCTTGGCAAATCCTCCTTCCCACTGTAGCCAGTCACCCCCGCTTCAACCCCAACATGTCCTCGACTTACTCCAGCAATGGGCAGATCTTCTCTGCGCAGCATGGCAGCGGCAGCCTCAGTGGAGTCTACGGCTATGACACTGAGGGTGAACCATGCTGCAGGATGCTCCCTGCCTCAGGGTGTGGGAACTGTCTCCAGGGCTCTGACCTGGGTTGGAACCTCCCAGGCCCCAGAGGCTCATGGGAGCTTCCAAGGAGACCCTGAAAATACAGAAAAATATTTAGTCCTCTACCAAGTTCAGGCCAGGACATGAGTATGCCAAGCGCTCCTTCAGGTAGTCATCCAGCCCTCGCTGAGCGCTTCGTGGGCCAGGCACCCAGACACCCTGATGAATGAGATGACCTGGTCCTTTCGTTAAAGAGCTTAAGGCCAGGATGGGGGAGAAGATGGAGGTGGGGGTGCTACAGCTGCCAGGAAAGGCCACTTGAGAGAAAACATGGCTCTTGTAAGATGTGTCAAGAAGGCAAGGGGCAGGGATCAGGGAGGGACGAACGAGGGAGCCTTGAGGGTCTTTGTGGAGAGGGTTGTGGGGAGGTGAGTGGAGTTACACTTGTCACCTCCCACCCCCTGGGTGTGTCCCTTCCAGGTCCAGAGCATCCAGGTCTCCAACTAGCAGTTCAGCCTGAGTGAGCATGAGCCGAGTCCCTAGTTCCTCTAGGTCAGGTTTGATGGCATCATGGGCTTGGCCTACCGGGCCCTGGCAGAGGGCAGGAGCATCACAGCCCTGCAGGGCAGGCTGCAGGCAGGCCTCCTCTCCAGCCAAGTCTTCAGCTTCTACCTGGGCAGGTAAGAAACTGCACAGGGGTCCTTAGCTCCCAGGCAACTCCCTCCATCCTCCCCAGACCCTGGATGGGTGGGCTTAATGCTTTGGGGTTTGGAGGCCTCCCAGTAGGTATTTGGCTCCAGCTACTACTTGTGTCCAGAACTTTCCTCCTGGGTTTCTAAACCGTCCCCCTGTCCACCCACTTTTCCATCATCCCTGTGTCTGTCCCCAGCCCACTCAGATTTTTCTTTGTATTTCGTGGTCAGTTTAGAATCTTTCCCTCATCTGGGTGAACTTAGCTTTAGTGTGGCTGCTGATTCTCAATACCACTGGGATTTACCTCCTGCCCAGAGCCACAGTTCACTCATTGCCTCCTGAGCAAATGTTTTCTACCCGGACACTTCTTTTGTATAAAAATCTACTGCCTCATCTCCTTTGATGTATTGTTCCAGCCAGGTGCCAGAGTCTTCCGGTCAAGGTTCATCATTTGTCCCCAGGAAGGTGTTTTCCTCACCACAAACACAAGCAATGCAGCCATTTAGTGTGGGAGCCAGGTGGTGGGGGCGGGGTGTGTGGCCTGGGATGATGGGCTTTCCTTCTTTCCTCTCCACAGTGAGCCAAACACCTTCTGGAGATAGTCAGCATCTGCTATCTGGCCTTAATCACTAGAGTGACTTTCAACAATATTTCCCTGTTCCTAATGTTGCTGACTTGGTCTCTACCTCCGGTTACAATTCGTTTTGAGTTTAGCCCCTAGAGCTCCGCCCAATTCCACACTCAGGTTTGGCTACCAGTGGAGGCTGAAAGGAGGTGGACTATTCTTCCCTCTCTTGGGCCAAGGCCCCACCTCCCTCCAGTCCCAGCAGAAAAATGTCAACCAGGGTGCAGGGGCAAACTCCCAGTGACACACAACACTAGCAGCAAGAAGTGAACGGGAGAGAGGAAGGGGTGTGAGACAGGGTGTGGGCCACACAACCAGCAGCCTCCCCAGAGGCAGGGCCTTGTGGGCAGCATTACCTAGACCAGAGGCACTGGGAATTCTAAGGGGCTCCGCTTGGAGCCGCAGTGAGAAAGGGGGACAGAACTCCTTCCCTCAGGGAGGAGGTCTGAAGGGAGACACAGCCCTGCCCCCAGGGAGCCCCAGTCTAAGGGGAGACACAGCCTTGTCCTCAGGGAGCCCCAGTCTGAGGGGAGACACAGCCCTGCCCCCAGGGAGCCCCAGTCTGAGGGGAGACACAGCCCTGCCCCCAGGGAGCCCCAGTCTGTGGGGAGACACAGCCCTGCCCTCAGGGAACCCCAGTCTGTGGGGAGACACAGCCCTGTCCCCAGGGAGCCCCAGTCTGAGTAGGTGACATACTCATGCTCTAGGGACCCTCAGCCTGCAGCCAGGGCAGGATCTCTCTTTCCCTCTGAAGGCGATTGCTGGACCGGAAATCTTTTCTATAGCCATCCCTGACTCACCCTTCCCTTTGCCTTCTGCAGAGATAGGAGCTCTCAGAACAGAGCAGTTCTCATATTCAGAGGGATAGACCACAGCCTGCACAAGGGAACCAATCTACTGGGCCCCAGTCACCCAGGAGCACTACTGGCAGATTGGCATTGAGGAGTGAGTGTGTGCTGGGGACGTGAGGAAGTGGCAGGCTTTGAGGCCTTTTATGGCGTGTGCGCGCGCACACACACACACACACACAAACACACAGGTTGGTACCGCTAGGAGGTCGGGCTAGGCGACTCCTGAGGCCTGCCCTTACAAAGCCACAAGAAGTGGGTGAGGTGGGGACAACATAATAGGGGCAGGTCTTAGAATCTCAAACATTATAGACTCTGTGGTCCAACACTGTGTGTTACAGGTTGCAAACTATGGTGAATGTGGGGGGATTAATGTGCTCAACGTACTTACAACCATTCAGTGACCCAGGCTTTCAGTGTTTCTAGAACCTTCCTTGCAACTTTTAAGAAAGACATTCCATGGCCATTTAGGTGTCCTTGGGCAGACTGAGCCGGGGGGTGGCTGGATTGACCTCTGCAGAGTCCTGACCTTCCTGAGGTGTATCTTGATTCTGTGGCTGAAGCTGTTTATTCCTCAGAGGCCAGGAAAGCCCACCTCCGAAATGCCCTGAGCTGGAGTTGCTAAGGGCGCTCCTCTCCTCACCATTTAGGTTCCTCATTGGCGGCTGTGCCACCAGCTGGTGCTCCCAGGGCTGCCAGGCCATTGTGGACACAGGCACATCTCTGCTCACTGTACCCCAGCAGTAACCTGGGTGCCCTTCTGCAGGCCACAGGGGCCCAGGCGGACCAATACAGACAGGTGTGTCTGGTGGAGGCATCCCCCTCTTTCGGAGAGGTTTGTTGGGAGGCATTTATGATTCTTCCGGGAGTAGCCCCACTCTTGGCCTCTGTGCTTCCAGCTGCCCAAAGCCCTGGAGGTGGGGGGGGGGGGGTTGGGCTGGAGGCCTGGAGACTGAGTCCGGGGTGTGGAGGCTTGTGCTGAGGGGGTAAGGGGTGGTCATGACTGGTCAGAATTTCCTTGGAGGTTTGGCCCCTCCAAGGAAACGGGTTAAACTCTTCCCAGGCAAACTAACCAGAACGGGAGGCCAAGCAGGGCAGCAGGGCCCGGGGCGCTGAGGTGAGGAGGTTGGTAGGTCCGCTCGGGTGGACCTCGAGGCACCTGGGCCCTCTTCCTCTCTGCAGTTTATCATGGACTGTAACAACGTCCAGAACCTGCCCACCTTGACCTTCCTCATCAGTCGTGTCCGTCTCTCCCTGCCATACCACTCCTTCCTCTTCACAGTGAGTCTGTGGGGACGCAACTGGGGTGTGAGGGGGGCCTGGGAGCCGCTGGGTCTCCTTACCATGTACCATTTCCTAGCTCCTTGCAAGTGCTGCTTTATTTTTTCCACTTGCTGGCTCCAAACCCCTACTCTGGCAAGAGGCTGTTAAACAGAAGAGTGTCATCTATTATCGATCACTATTATTAATTGGTGCAGAAAGGCACTGGCTTGGTTTGTTGAGCGCTGACATGTCAGCACTTGGGGAAGCATTGTGCTCACACTGTCCCACTGAAGTTTCAGGACATTCCAGGAGGGAGATGCTAATTTCTATTTTACAAGTGAGACCTTGGAGGTCTGGAGAGGTTGAGAAACTGACACAGGGCTACATGGCTAGTCGGGGTGAAGCTAAGGTTGGAAGCCAAGTTGGTGTGGCTTCAAGGCTTTGCCAGCAGGCTGACCTGCTCCACGTCGGGAGCAAAAGGGAGGCGCGTGGGAACTCGGGGAGAGGAGGCTGCAGGTGGTCACCGCAGTCTGCATTTACTCATTGCAGAAATCCCTCATACTCTGGGGCTCAGTCAGCCTGGGGGGCCTCTAGGGGAGCACACCTGGCTCCCTCATTTCTGCCTTTGTGCTCAGGGCTGAGCAGTGCCCTGTCCATGTGGGAGCCAATGAATGAGCGCTGCCCTTCCGTGTTGTGCAGGAAAATGGCATTTGTGCCCTGGGTGTCCAGGCCACCTACCTGCCCTCCAGCAGTGGCCAGCCCCTGTGGATTCTTGGGGTTGTCTTCCTCAGGTCTTACTACTCCATCTTTGACATTGGCAACAACAGGGTGGGCTGCGCCACTGCCGCCTAGACTCAGCGCCTGGATGCCTGGGCTTTCTTCTTCCTCTGGACTCAATCCCTCCCCACAACCCCCACCCTACCCTCGCCCTGCAGGAGGTTCCCTGTGTGCTGCTTCTCTGGATTCCGTCTTTTGCTGGCTTCTGGACTTTCTGTCACAATAAATAGTTATTCTCTTTGTTGGCCAGCGTGTTGTTTTTAGAAGGTGGTTGTGGCCTGTAAGGCAGCTCCTGGTCACAGGGAATGGGAGGGAAGAGTGGGAGTCGGGGCAGATGTGCCTCTGCTGGACCCTGTTCTCCCTCAGGGTCTGGGAGGCTTGTGGGGGCCAGAGAAGGGTATCACTGAGATTCTAAGAGAGAAGGGGCATAACATAGGGCTTGGGGATGGGCCCTGTACCCTTCAGACTTGGGAGTCTCTCTACAGCTTCTCTCTGGAGAGAGAAAGGAGTGGTAGTGACGCTGAGGCAGGACATTCTTTTGTGAGGGGCCAAGGGGCCCAACTGCCACAACCCCAAATGTTCTGCTCACTTAATTGACCGAATGACCAGCAGAATCACCCCAGGCAAGTCTACTACCTCTGTGACGAGGGCTTCCATGCCTCCCATACCTAGGCCTTCATTTCGTCACCTGGGATTGAATTTGCACTAGGAGCTTCTGAGAAATGCTAGATGCCTATGTACACTTGTGACAGTCATGGGTCCTTCTGGGAGGGGGATAATGCTACCAAAACCTATTTCCAGGAGGGCTCCAGAAGGTCTGGGCTGAATGAACCTGATCATATTTTCACGTAGAGTCCTATGCCCCAAGGTCTGTATTTGAAGAAGGGCTGGCCCTCACCTGTGGATAAGAGGGAAACTACTTGAATCACATGAGATCAAGCCCACTTGCTCTAACTGAACAAAATAAGATATTTTCGCCCTCTAGACTTCATTCTATTCTTCTTAGGAGCCACTGGGCAAAAGACCCACAGTCCTTGGGCAACACGGTATGGGGGACAGGAGGAAGGGGAGAAAGCAGAGAAAGGTGCTCAGCCCTGTAACTTCCAACAGGGAGAAGGATGTGAAAATTTCTTCTGGGCATCATCATAGGGTGGAGAGGGGGCTGGTGGCCAGCAAGTTAGGACTGATGAGGCTTGAGGAGGGGTATTACTGGAAAACCATAATGGGAGGGTTATAGGCTCCTTATACACACTTCTTCCACCCTGATCCCAACTTTGCTTCTTATGCTCAGGGGCAGGAATGAAATACAAGATCCAAGTCTAGCACTCCACTCTGAAACATGAGGGAAATTGAGGTTTGCTACTTAGTAGTTTCTATGGCAATGGCACACCACGGGGACCCTGCATCTTTCCAAGAATCTGGGAAAGATAGGGTGCTGCTGGCCTGTCCTTGGGGTCAGAGAGGCCCCGGAGCATATCCTAGTGAGCTGTAGTTCAAGGCATCTCTGAGTGAGAAGAGAAAAAAAAAAAAAAAAAAAAAAGACTTGCAGAAGGGGCAGAAACGAAGAGGAACGAGTCAAAATCCCCGTCCCTCCCTGCACACAGGCCGGGACCCACAGAGTGGGACTACAAATCCCAGCGTTCCCGGCAGAGCCGCCGGGAGGGACTACATTTCCCCGCGGGCGCCGCGGTAGGCCCCGAGGGGCGGAGCAGGGCGGGGCGGACCGAGGGGGGCGTGTGCTGCCCTCTGCCGGGCGCGGCGGGAAGTGGGCGCGGATTGACAGCGGGAGCCCGGCGCCGGGCGCGGGGCTCGGTGACAGCGGAGGCGGCGGCCGCGGGCTGGACCCAGCGAGCGGCGGCAGCGGCGCCGACGGCAGCGGGCAGGGCGGACGGCGCGGGCCTCCTCAGGGGCGCGCAGCCGGAGGGGTCCGGGAGGGGGCGGCAGGCGCAGCTCGCGGGCCGGACACCTGAACTTGGGACAAGTTGCCAGAGCCGCGGGGGACAGGCGGGGACGGACTGACCTTCAGAGCTAGGTGAGAGGGGCCGGGGGCGCGGGGTGCTCGGAGGGCCCGGGACGCCGGACCCGGTCTCCCCCGCCGCCGCCGCGGGTGCGGGAGACAGGTGGGTGGATGGGGGCGCGGGCTGCAGAGGGGACGCGGAGTGTGTGTGCCGCGCCGCCACCCGCGCCGCTGTGCGTCCAGCCCGGGGGCTCGGCGCAGGGCCAGGGCGGCGCCGCCCGCGGAGCCCGGGAGCCGCTCCGGCCCCTCACTGCGGGCCCGGGCCGGGGGCGGCTTCTCGGCGACCTTATGTAACCAGGCGGGAGGGGCCGGGGCGGGCACGGGCCTTCCCGGCCCGGGAGCCGGGAGCCCGAGGGGCGGGAGTCGTGGCAGTGAACTTGCAGCAAGTTAGAGGGACGTGCGGGCCCTGCGCCTACTCCTTCTCCACCGGGGGCGGCTGGGGCGGGCGGCACCGGGGAGGGCGCCGGAGGCCCGGGACGTGTGCGGGGGCCGAGTCCCGCCCGGCCAGGCCCGGCCTGATGGTCCCGGGAGTGGGAGGGCCGGCGCGGCGCCACGCCCCCGGGGCTGGGCGGCCGGTGGGGGCGGGTGCCAGTACCATCCCTCCCTCCCTTCCCGCCCCTGCCTCTCCCAACGCGTCTTAAGCCGCCGCTGCCCGGTCCCCTGGGATCCCCGGACTCAGTCTTTTGCTCCCCTTTGCATTATTGCATGACCTCTGGGAAGCCCCAGCCTAGAGCTCACCCTTCGCGCGCCCGTCTCTCTGCTCCCCTGGGCTCCCGGGCATCTGCCCCCCCCCCCCCACACGCACACCTCCTCGGTCCCGAATCCCGGAAAGCACGCCCCTTCCCCTTACTCCGGGAGTTGGCACCGCCCAGCCCCTTGCTGTCCCGCCCCCGAAGTCCGTGCGGGGTCTGGTCCCCAAGTTCCCGAACCCAGGTCGGCCGCGGGGGCGCAGCGCGCGCACTTCCCTCCTCCGGGCGGGCGGGTAGATGCCAGCTCCGTCCCCGCCCCTCGGCCCTGTCCGGCCCCGGGCTCTGGCTTCACGCTCGGCCGCCCCGGGCCGCTCGAGTTTGCGCCAGCAGGTTCGCGCCGCAGCCGCCCGGCGCGCCCCAGCCTCGCGCCCGGGGGAAGGAGGGAGGGCGCCCGGGGCGGAGCTCCTCGGCACGCGCTCCCCTCCCGGCCCCCCGCGGCCGCTCCCCGCGGAGTCCTCCCCAGCCCAGGCCAGGCCAGGCAGCCAGGACTCTCCCTCCGCCCGTCCTGGGCACGGCTCGGCGCGGACGCTTTCTGGACTGACTCGAGCGCAGCGCTTTCTCTGGCTTCCCGTCGGCGGGGAAGTGTCAGTTACCGCCCAGCCCCCACCCTGAGTGGGGGGTCTCCCTGGAGCAGAGAACGAAGGGCCAGGCCGGTGCAGGCCCTTAGGATGCCTCTCAGATGTGGGCTCAGGCCCCTGTTCCCGCCCCATCCAAGATTCCACTGGCCCAAGACCTGGCAATTCTTGGGGGGGGGGGGGGGAGGGGAGTGGGGGGGGAAGGCAGCTCTGGTTTCCTCTTGGGCGGCCAGATGCGGTTGGCTCAGATCAGAACGTAGTTCCTGGCTCCTTAGCCTGTTTGCTCTGAGGCCTTCTCTGTGTCCAGCCTGGGGGACAGCCTCCAGGCCCTGCCCTCAGGCAGATAACAGTCTGGGGGAGAGATGCCAGCAATAAAGGCCAGTCTTAGACACAGCGGAAGGGGAGAGCCCAACGCGGTAGTTTGCTGGTATGCTAGTACCATGCCTCAGTTTCCCCAGCTGTAGGAAAAACAGCAGTTCACTCTGTTTCTTTCTGCCCCCTTCTTTCTGCCTGCCCCTTAGCGGCTGGGGTAGAAGAGTGAGGAACCAGAAAGCATAAACGAAAGGTCGTTTGCAGACTCTGCTCTGCTTCTCGGGAAGGGAGCCTATATTGCTTACAATTTACAAGGCCTGTTACAGCTGCAGCGCTGTTTTGCCCTCAACTCAGCTCTGTGAGGTACAGACAGTTGGGAATCCTGTTCTGCGTGCCATGGAAGTGGTGCAGGGCACAGGACAGGGGACATCCCCTCAGGTGAGCACTAAATCCATGGAGAACGAGCTGGTCTTCTGAGGGCTGAGGGCAGCGTGACTCACAGTCAGAGGTGGGCAGAGGGTGGGCCAGGAGAGGCAAGATCCTATCCAGGGGCCTGGGATGGTGGGGATACCCAGTGCCCACCCCCATCGCCGGTGAGGCCCCTTTTCAGCCTCAGAGCTGGAAAGTAAGTAGGAGGGGCCTCCCACCCTTCAGGCCTGGCTGTCCTTTGACGGTCTGGCTTCTGGCCCTGATCCCTCTTGGGGCTTTGTTTATGGCTGTAATTATATCATTAGCTGGAGTTTATAGAGTAACTTAGCACCTGCCCCCACAGGGAGTGGCCCAGCCACCCCCTGGCTTCTCTCTCTTCCTTTTCAAAGTCAACTTGGTTTCTGCCGGCAGGCAGCAGGCAGCAGGGGTTTCCCCAACCGCAGCTGGCATGAAAGCCAGGTTGGGCCTTTGTCCTAGGGATGGAGGGCAGTCAGCACTTGGGGCCCAGCTTGGGGCTGCCCTGGAGATGACTGTGGAAACTGGGTTGACCTCCTCTGATACAGCAGGAGAGAGGTCAGGATTTCCAGAGCTGCCAGAAGTGTCCACATCCTAGGATGCAGCAAGTGAATACGCATATAACATGTATATCTTCCTCTGAAAAAAGAGAGAGAAAAAGGTACCCTCCTTCCAGGCTGTTGTGAGGATTCAGGGTGGAGCAGTGCCTGGTACATGGTGAGTCCATAGTGTTGCTCTGTGTTTCACTGTGTCATATGTGTAATTGATGGGAGTTTGTATGTGTGGTTATGAGATTATAGGTATCTAGGTACATGTGTATAGATGAATTGTATATGGGAGTGTCTAGGAGAATATAATAACACGATATTGTTTACATATGTATATTTTAAAGATTTTATTTATTTATTCATGAGAGACACACAGAGAGAGGCAGAGACACAGGCAGAGGGAGAGCCAGGCTCCCTGCGGGGAGCCTGA